CTTCAGACTCATGGTTCTAGCCTTAGCATGGTGGACAATGTTTGCAGCTTCTCTAAGCCCACTAAGAAAAGCTCCGTGCATAGTAGCTGGATAGCGCCTATTTGTGGCCTCACCAGCAAAGAAAAGTCTACCATCACCCACACTTTCTGCTAATATATCATAGTCATCTCCTGATGACCCCACTGCAACATTAGAGTAAGAACCCAAGCTGAAAGGATCACTTCCCCATCTTGTACATACAGTTTGGATTGGCTCTGGCACTTCAATTCCTTGTGGTTCATATATACCTGAAGCAATGACCGAAATTCTCATTACTACATCAGAAGCAAGAAACTTAACAGCAAGCTCCAAGTAACAAGAAAGGCTTTTGAAAAGGGCACAACATTTTATCTTTTACTGAGATAGAGAGATATGTAACCACATTTCTATCAAATGCAAAATCTCAAAACAATTGATGAACTCAAGCATAGAGTGTAAGAAGAAAAGAAATAGATTCTTTTTCAAGGTGGTAAAAGAGTAAGTGGCAGTATGGCAGAAAAGAAGCATGTTCTGCAACATATTATGAGAGTTAAGTGGGTAATACACTTTGAGGGACATGTCATTAAAAAAATTACATTTAAAGGACACTTTATTGGTTGGAGCAATGAGAAAGAGGAAAGGCAGCTTAGAACACTTTGAAACACTGTCCTTGTATGCATACTCAGGTAGCTTGTGAAGAGGGGACCACTAGCAGTTTTGTAGAAAAAAGAAGATACACTACGTTGTACGAAGTATCCCGCATTGGGAAGTCAAGAGAGTATTGAAGTTTATTAAAGAGTTAGCTCACAATCAATACGTTTGTTCCCCGGGTGCTGACTGTAATGGAACTCCATCTAAACCCCAGATTAGAATCACAAGTAAGAAATTTAAAGGTAAGTTAGCTCAAGCTTTAATGATCATGACATTTGACAAACTTTATCATCTCGGAAGTCGGTCTTCAAGTAACCATACAATGTGAAAGTGCATCTTTTCACATACCAGCAATTACACCCAGGATAAGGAGGAATCATCATTTATATAACTAATCGATTTGTATGAAACAAGATCATATTTGATAATGAAGAGAGTTCAGATCATATCATTTTTTATTTTTTATTTTGTAATCAATTGATTGCTCTTTTTTATGGAACTACTTTTATTTTTACATGTTCTCTTTTAATTTAAGCCATTTTAGCCCATAAACAGTAGGATTATTCGACACTTCTTCATAGTCCACCTTTACTGAAGTATCAGCCTAGTGAAAAAATGACTCGGAATTGAGAGCATTGACCATAAAACAGCCACGTCATTGCTTACCAAATTAGTGTTCTTTTCTTCTTGTTATATGCTGATTGGTATCTTATACAACAGACTGAGAAATTAAGCTTCAGGAAGTCAGTCAGTAGCAACAAAAACAGCATTTTACCTTTTAGAATTTGAAGAACCTTTGTCACTGCATCAGTCGGAGGCATGGTCTCAAACTTGTGTGCAGCTTCTCCAGCAACTAGAGCTAACAATAAGGGACCGCCGGCAACAGTTGCATAACTGTAGAACAAAAAGAATTCACCCCTGCTACTAGAATTATCAGTAAGATGCCCAAAGGTATCGAGATCAGTGCCCCAGAATACATATGGGAAAAGCATTGCAACTTTATTTAATAATCCAAATCCCAATCTTTTTATTCCGTCGAGCTTCCGCTGAGGCAATTCTGGCATGAACTTAATAGAACCACCTTTCAGAACTCCAAGAGGAACAGTGCACAGCACCATATCTCCCTCAAATACTTGGGCCCCAGCGCCAACCTGTACTCCATCGGTACCATAACGAATGGTATGCACAATTTTTTCATAAAGAATAGGTACATTTTCCGACAATGCATGAACTAGTTTTCCGTTTCCTCCGGGCAGGAAGCAATGATCCCCTCCCATGTCAAAAGGGTCATCTTGGTCCCAAAATGCTAATGAAAGTTTAGAAATCAGACCTGCATTTGCATATTCTAGATTTGCTAGATGCCAGTTAAACAAACTCATCTCCTCTTCATTCACGGCATCTTCATAATCCTGACGGAAAGTCTCCAGTGCTGCTCCAAGAGAAACATCCTGAGAAACTTCTCCCATTAACTGCCTAAGCTTGCTTGCCTTCTCCAAAAGCAAATTATAAGCAGTCTCCACCTTGTGATCTAAATCTTGATCAACTGGCTTCCCATCCACACGATAAAGAGGGCATTTGTCTCTGACCTTGTGAAGTGTGCAGGACAGCTGCCGTGCCAAAATACCTAGTGGGTTCCCTAGCGTACCCGTCAACACACTCCCTCCTAAATCAGCAGCAGCTACCTTATTTCCACCTTCCATTTTTTTTGAGTATACCCTTCCACCAGCACGTTTTCTTCCCTCCAAAACTGTAACCTTAAACCCGAACAACATCAACTGTCTCGCTGCAGCTAACCCTGCAAGTCCTGCCCCAATAATGATAACACTAGGCTTACTCGGCTCAGCTGGAATCCTATCCTTAATAGCCGGCACAACTCCAAAATTAATATACCCACGCGATACCAAATAATTATGAGCAGAATCCAGCAAAGCATAACAATGCTTAGGTATAACATCATAAAACATCTCTTTTGTTATCCAAGTCCACACGTTTACACGCCATTTCATAAGTATATGGTTTCTAATAAGAATATAATTAACCTGTTCAATACCACCCACTACTGAAACAACCCCAGCTTCAATTTCCTCATCAGTTAAAGAATCAGCTGGAAACCCCGCAGTTAAAGCAATTAACGCCTCCGTCGTTGCCTCTTTGTTAATTACAATAATCTCATCCGAAGCATCAAAAGAAGCGGTATTTTTTCTAGCACTCAAATTACGCACAAGATTCGAATTTTCCACAAGGGTTTTGCTAAACTGAACAAAAGAAGACTACTGTAAATTACCATTAGCATTAAAACTGATCAAAAACTTTAAAAAGTAATTAGGTCAAATTATCATACATACACATATATATATATACCTGGTCCAAAGACGATGTCGCCGTACTCCGAGGTCTACCTCGTCTCCGTTTCGTCGGGATGGAGAGGGACAGAAGCTGGTCTGAAATTGAATCGGAATGAGGATTCGGATTCAGATTCGGGTTTGGGTTCGGGTTCGGGTCACGGCTAGGGTTTGAATTTGGAATTGAAGTGAAATTGGGAGTAGAATTGGGCAAATGAATGGTGAATTGAAGGGGATTGTTACTAGTAATATAAGGTAAAGATTGTTGAGAAGAAGGATTGTTATCTGAAGGATCCATGGCTGATGTTCTTCACTTTTTTCTGCAACTTGTAGAACTAGGGAAGATGAAGAAGAAAGAGTTCTGGTTACGAGTTCGGAATTCAAACCCGAAATCTCTAAGCCAAGATCGGAATTCAAATTTGAAATTTTTAAGCAATTTCGTACTTAAAAAACTCAAATTCGATATTTTTATGTGGATTCACACTTTATCATTATACAATTTTAACTTTTTTTCGATATTATAATATCGTTTTTATTGAGATAAGTCGAAAGATGAAATCTTAATTTTTACAGGTGAAACTGTTTGTATTTGATTAGCGAAAAATTCTTGTTGAATAAGAAAATATTAAATTAATTTATATTTGTCGCTAGTGTGTTGATAGTCGTATTATCTCAATAAATAAGGTCTCGGCTAAAGTCTTCGCCTTATAATTATAACTTCTTTCATCCCGTAAGAATAATGTAAAATCAAATTATTTAGAAGTGAATTTAAATGAATCTCGGAAAATTATAAATGAGATTTGCAAATTGTTATTACTCTATTTAAATAATCTATTTAATGCTCAATCAGAACTTACTATGATCTCGTTCTTTATTTTGAAACTAAGAATGAGTTTATATAATATTATATTATGCTTTCAATATAGTGTTTATAAATTATATCACTTTACGTTTATGTCATACTTGAATGATACACCTACAATAAAGTATGAGAGCTTTTATGAAAATGTAGGATAAAAGATGAAATATGATTATTAAATAATAAATAAGGAAAATAAGAAAAATAATATTGAAGTCGCTACATAAAATGAGTTTTTTTCGTTACCTAACAATGAATTCAAATGATACGATACAATAAAATGTAAATAACAATCAAAATAAATATTTTATTAAAACTAACAATACAATACAATATAATACAATACAATACAATGAATAACAATCATTCAAAAGATGCTAGTCTCTTTTCTCAAATAATTAACAAATCGAATTGAAATTTCAAGCTTTAAAAACAGTTACAAAATAGATGGTCTTTTATAATATTTCAATTTTTATTATAAAAGTCACGGTTATACCTATCGAACAAGAGATATAAAATATCATAAATACCCAACTCCTTAACATCAGTTAACTTGGTTTCATCATCTATGCTCTTCAACTTTGAATCTACATTAGCTGCTGACTACATCTTTCTACCTTTGTTTGACCACTACGTTGAGATTTTTCTACCTTTAATTTGTTTCGTTTGGAATGTCCAACGCTAATCCCTATGCTAATTTGAAATACAATAATGATAACGGCAAAAATATAGAACAAGAATGTCTATTATGTATCCAAGTCGTAATGCAAATCCAAGTATTTGCAACCCTTGTTACACTCATCATCAATAATTTCATGTAAGTTTCAATCATATTTTGAATGACAACGTGACGATAATTCTTAATAATTTGTTCATTCAATTTTTGTTCAAATTATCTTTCATGATATGATAGAATTTATTATGTGACATATGTCAAATGGAACAGTTTGAGACTGAGTGATTTGTTATGAGATTGATCAAGTTCAAATTTTATGTCTAATGTGGATATTGAAACTAAATCCAATTAAGAGTTGGTCCTTACTAAAGTATTTGATTTTTTGAAAATTATGGTTTTATGTTAGATATAAACTTATATTATTTAATTTTATTTAAATAGCAATTAAAAATTAAATATATACATTAAGGAATTGATAAATGTGTATAATAAAGATGCATGTCTAAAAGTTATGATATATATATACATTACGTAACTGATAAATCTATATAAAAGAGACATATGTCTTATATTTATTGATATCACGTAAACACATTTGTCAAGATAACCACCTTTCCCTCTATATTTTGGTGATGTCTTGGTCTATACTTTTAATTTAAAAACAATCGATCCGAAATAAATGCTTCATTTAAATAAAAATCACAAGATCTTTGTCACATTTTTTTTACTTTATCATTATTATTGTTATTATTATTAATTATATCATCAATAATTCTCTAATACATGAGTGATTATCAAGAAAAACAACATGTTGCTTGCTGTGTTGATAGCCAATTCTGAGGGAAATATACTAGTTGAGCGGTAACTTATTCAATAAATTTTTAATTAATGTCGATATCTTATTAATTTTCTAGCTTGTTGTTTTTTCTGTTTGTTATTGTTGTCTTTTTTCATTGCTCGATCAGTTGAATATTTCTCTTTTATCGAAACAGTCTCTCTATCTTTTCAATTTAAAGATAAAATTAATTTGCATACGCTCTATCTTCTCCAAATTAAAATTAATCAGCATACGCTCTATCTTTTCCGAATTCATATATTTTTTTCCATGCAGTTTAAATGGAGTTCCAATTGAGGAAACAATACATTGGAGATCTTTTTTAGTTAGATTGGGGGCAGAAAATCTTAAAGGAGTAAAAAATGAGGAGCTACTTGTAGCTTGTCACAAGTATGTATATTTTGAATTATTTTAATTTATTACCTAAGTTTTTTATAATATAATTTAATAGAGTATTGTTGGATTATTATTGATTGCTATTAACTTGTAAATTATCTATTCCTTTCTTCGTTGTAAAATATTTCTCATATTTCGCTTCTCGAAAGTCAGTTTAATTAACTTTTAAAGCTAAATCGGATTAGATTAATTTAATATATTAAAATTATTACTTAGTTATCCAAAAACTACACGAAAGATACTATAGCATGCAGATTTTCTTATATCAATATGACGAAAAATTACATTTTAAAACGTTACTAAGAGATTATATAGTTTGACAAAAAAAAAGTGACAATTAGTTTAAGAGAAATAGAATGTTCCGTATAACGTTATTTACTCGATTTAAACAACAACATCAAGACTTTACGGAGATTTGAGAACGATCGAGTGTTATACCGAGATAAATAAAAATTCTTCATCTTTAATTATAGGTCTCGAATTTGCCCTTCAGAATGATAATGATTCTAGTAGCTAGTAAGGAACACTTCCTTTTAATACTCGTACATATATAATGTAAATTCAAAATAGTTAAAAATTCTAAAATAAGTATCGAATATCATACGAGAAACTAATATTATTTCGTATTTATTTTTTCACACTTCAAATTTTACCTTTTTTTTTCCCTTTTCAGATCAGTGTATGTGGTATACACTGTATTAGGAGGTGTTAGCATTTATGTGGTTGGCAAAGAAGAATATGATGAACTTGTTTGTAAGTCTATATGTTATATAATATTATATACTTTTGTACTAATTAATTTCTTTGTTTTACACAAAATCAATGAACACAATTCTTTTATTATATAGTTTATGTGATAATTATTTATTTAAATTTTGTGAATTTTCTTAAAGTATCTGAAGTAATATATGTTATTACTTCAATTGTGAGGGATGCATGTGGAAAGGCTCCAAGTGAACGTCTTTTTTTAGACAAATATGGAAAAATTTGCTTGTGTTTAGATGAAATTGTTTGGAAGGTAAGTTTTTTTGAAAAATACAATAAAATATACGTAGTTTGGTTATGTTACGATGTTTTTTAATTAACATATTTGTCGTTTGTATTTTGAAGGGGTTGCTCGAAAATACAGAAAAAGACAGAATCAAAAGACTTATAAGGTTGAAATCACCATCAGAAATCTGAGTGTGCTTAATGATTCAACCTGTTTCTATTAGTTATGTCTTGCGTCTTCTGGTGCTTTATCGTATGTATTTTACATAAATGTAACACTTGGAAAGTGTAATTATTAAACTTATTTGCTTCTATATAGTAGTTTTTTAGTTTAGTTATTTACATCTTATATTTTCTAGCATGTTAGATTTCATATACACTATATATAACTTTAAATGTAATTTGTATAATGTGATTGTTATTTATCCGCTAACACAAGTTACACATAAATTGTGACTTATTTTGCATAAAATATTATATGAAGATTTCATCAATATTGTCTAGCTACATTATATTTATTGAATCATCAATCTAAATACATGATAAAATATAGACATATATCTCGTCTCAAATAACTATATGATCATAAAAGATGTAATGTGATTATGCCAATTGAACAGATGTCTCGTTTTTGGATTATATATATTGTTTGTTGATGAAAAAAATAACTAAAAACTTTCTTTGAGAGAATTTTTTTTTTTAAATAGCTAATGTCGAGTTATGATTCTTGATCTTATGGCTATCGCTAAAAATTTTAATCAAAATTCTTATATACTTTTCATTGAGCTATCTCCTAGATTGAATTTCGACATTAATAATGTTCTATGAGTTTATTATGACCAAATTGTGTTGATTATTGTAACCATTAAGGATCAATTCACTAATAAATGTTAAACATCATTGTTTTTCTAATTTTTATCAATATTGAAACAACAAATATCTTATAATGTCATCTCATTAAATTATATTTATCAAATTAAGTATAATATAATATTATATCATGATTTTATAAGAGTAGATAAATAAGATAATATTATGTCATCATAAAACAAATATGAATAAATATACATACCAACATATTTTTCAAAATTGAATATCAAAGTCTAATAATCTCACGTGTGAGTTACAAAACCTATTTAGATAATGCCGCTTTCAAAATGATTTTTACTAACGATCACTCCAAAACAAGAAAAAAAACTTAATATACTCTTAAAGTATTCGAAATTGAACAATTTTATCCAAAACATTTACTTAAAAGTTTATATGTTTAATTAGAAAATGATTTCTTAATATAAAAATAATTTCAATACTTGACCAATTTGCCCTACCCATAAGAACTTCTAGACAAACTTTTTTTTTTTTTTTTAAATACCATCATTTAACAATGTCAATATAAAATAAAAATCTTCTATTGAAGAATTGTCTATGCCTAGAAAATTATTTTGATTGATTTTTTATTAATATATATTTAATTATTATTGTAATTATAATTTAATAAATAATTTTAAATAATATTACTAAGTCAGTCCTTAATTAATTTTTAATTTCATCATCATCATCTCCATCTTCCATCTACATCTCCATTTCCATTCTCCAGCTCTGCTCCGGTCTGGAGCTCCTCACCCCACCCCCACCCCTACCCCACCCACCCCACCCACCCCACCTACCCCAGCACACCGTATCAGTCGTTTCACTGTTGTTTGATCAATTTAGTTCTCGTACTGTTTCTTAGATCCGAACAATATCCTTCTCTGGTACTGTTTTTTTTTCTGTCAAATGCGAAATTTACACAATTCAGATTCATATTATGAGCTATTTGAATTGTCTGTATGACCCATTTTATTCAATTTTTGTTTTTTTGGTGATTTCGTACAGTTGAGTATATTGAGATGGGGAAATTTGATCTACTACCCATTCCTAAAGACAAATCGGTGAGTTCAATTTCTTATTTTTAACCTTGAATTTTCACTGGAATTGGAGATTTCTCAGTTGGGTTTTGGGATTTTGATGAATTTAACTAAAAAATTTTAGTCTTTATCACATGCTGCAGCTTACCCTTTTTTCTTCTTCTTACCTTAATTAGATTAGAATCTTTCTGTTCTGGTAACTTGTATTGAAAGTTAGAGCACATTGGATGCAGCTGTTATTTATGTAAGAGTATATAGCTTATATATATATATTTTTTATTTGAAATTTGGGTTATTTCTGTAGTATTTCTTTGATCATATGCTCTGTGGACTGTGATGAATTACTGAGTTGTTCCTATTTTGGGAACTTTGTAATGAAATTATAGTAATTCTGGTTTATATGTTATGATACTCTTGGGATATTTCTGTGGTGTGTTTTTAGTAAGTAGCTTATGGTCTTCCTATTAGTAATTTGTTCTGAAATATATATTAATTGGGTTGTATCTATTACCAAATCTTTGGTTATTTCTGTAGCATTTGTTTGATCATATGTTTTGTGGTAATTGCAGTACTTAAGGGAGGAACTTGCTAGAGTAGATGAAAACTGGGCTGCTGCTCGCTTTGATTCACTGCCTCATGTTGTTCGTATATTAACATCGAAAGATCGTGAAGGTGATGTCCAAGTCTTAAAGGAGCAAAGTGAGATTATTGAGGAAGTTGTGGATGAAGTAGTGCATGCCTACCATGGTGGCTTCAATAAAGCTATTCAAAATTATTCTCAGGTGTCTTTTTACATCGTCCCTTATTTGTTGATTTTGTTTAGTAGTGAATTTCCTAGATATGCAAATTTCTAGTTTCAAGCAAATGTTTATTTATGTGAACTATCCTAGAAAGAGATAGGCGCACTCACTTCTGATTTTTGCTTTAGTATTTATTTATTTTTGATCTAAACATTGAGGAATTGAAAAAGATATGAACAGGGAAAGAAAGCTAACTAGTGCAGATACATAAAATCCCGTCATCTTTACTTTCCTCATATTTATGGTGCAGCCAATGACATGTATAGATAATGGAATTGATTTTGTCGAATAGGACTCCTACCCAGTGCTTGAATCCTTCATACAGGGTTTCTTTTATCTTTTTCTTTTTGTCAATAGAAGTTACTTTGTTTCTAGGAAAAAATCGTAAAGAAGAAGAAGTTAAAGCAGTGAGTTTGACATTAGCTCTTCCTTAGTCCAAAAAAGGGAAGAAAATTAAAGAATACAATAACCCAAAAAATTGTTTTCTGTGATAAAGTAGTAATTTATTGATATACTAAAATGAAAGATACTCTTTATTCAAGAATTCCAAAAACATAAACCATATATCCATTACTTGTGAAACTTGAAGATGATTTTCCTCAATATGTCTTATCAAAAAGTAAAATTCATTGGTTTGCTATTCTCATCTCTAACCAATGCTGTCTGCCAACATACTTTTGAGCTTGGAACAAGAAGTAACTGTTCCTAAAAAAAAAAGAAAAGAGAAACAAGAAAATGTTTTTAGAGCCATAAGCTAGAATAGTTCAACAAATTTTTCATTCTTTCCCTCACCATGGTGAGACTTGAGAGTTATATATATTTTGACTAGCATTATTCTTGGAGAATATAGGTAAAAGGACACTCTTAATTATTTTATAAGGTCTAGTTATCAGGCTCTGATTTTCTGCATACCTTTTTATGCGTTATCACATTGTCAGGGAACTGTTCTCCCGTTTGCTGCTAGGGTAAAAATTGCAATGGGTGATGTAGCTTTATCTATTTAAGCTAGTTACAGGACACATGACTGCTTGGCCCTAGAACATGTTTATTCATTGACCATCCTTTAACATTTATTATTTTGAGATTCGCTTTAAAGAACCTTAAGCTCTGATTCTCTAATGTACAGTGACTTACTCTTTTCTTGAAAAGAAAAACCTTGTGCTCTGATTTAGCTGTTAGGTTATATAAAACAGTAACCTCTTTTTGTATTCTATATATACCTTTGATCAATATGTTTTCTCTTGGCATAGAGTTGCACTTTCAACTCAGTTAACAACCTAATGCTAGTTGTAGCGGTCTCTGTTTTAGATCCTAGACAAAAAATCAGGTGCTTGGTGATAGATGTTGTCTCTTCTATTTGTAACTTAATTTGGTGGATCTTTTTTTTTTTTTGATGAAGTAAAAAGAAAAATGTAAAAGTTAACCAACCTAAATATTTTGTTAAGTTCACACAGTCTGAAATCAATTGAATTTAAGTTTCTGGTCTTTCTGAAAGAGGCAAACGTTCAAAGGTCTTGTTACAGTTCCTATATGGCTGTTATGTGAAATAAAAAATGATTTAGAGTGATTGAGTTAGCTGATTGTAAATAACCGATAAGTTTCAAGTGCCTAAACTGATTTTATAAATAAACAATTTACGTGTTTGGATAGAAGTGTTGAAACTGATAATAAGCAGTTGTTGCGTTTGGTATAAGTTGCCGATAAGGTATATTTTGTTAACATGATTAAAATACCCTTAACATTTCCACAAAAATCATAAATTTGGAAGTCCCTTTATAAAGAAAAAGAGAAACTTCCCTATAGATGCAGAAACAATCCTAGGAAGTATTAGAATCATGATAGGCTTGCTGTTTTTGTTCTTACATTTTCATTATTTTTTTGTAAAGGGATTTTCAGTACTACCTAAGTACAAGTTTATACTACAAATTGTTACCTTCTCAAAAAATAAAAAGCAAGAAAAGGAGGAACAATGATATGGGGTAGTGAGGAAGTTAGCAGTTCTGTTTTGGAAAAGGTATTTTCGGAATTAGTTAAAATATTAAAGATTAAAAAATAGTAAAAAACTTTGTCCAACCAAAGGTGCTTATAAGCTGAAACCCTATGAGTCGGGGATGACAAGATTATGACTTTAGGCTGATTGTCTTATAAACACTTTTGAGTGTCTAACAAACACATAAATAAGCGGGAAGGATCCTTTAAGTCCGTTTGATCAGCTTATAAGCTTAGCCAAACATTTCTTGTATCTGGTAAGTTGATGCTACTTCTGGAGTAAGCACAGAAGAGGGTGTCTCTCAGCACGTTCTGAAACATGGCATGTTGTTTATGTACGTAATTAGTCTAAGCCAGTGCTGAAGTGTAGCTTTATGGTTTTCTTTTGGCTTTTTAATATTCGTCTTATTCTTATATATCAAAGGATATTCATCTTATTCTTTGAGTCTACCTTACCTTCAGATTTTGCGGTTATTCAGTGAATCCACCCAAAGTATTGGGGTTTTAAAAGGTGACTTGGCGGAGGCAAAGAAGCTTCTTGGTGCCCGTAACAAGCAGTTGCATCAGTTGTGGTATCGGTCTGTTACATTGCGACATATTATCTCCTTGTTAGATCAAATAGAAGGCATAGCTAAGGTCAGTTATCTTCGGTTATATTTTTTCTACTAGTGTTGTTGCTATTATTCTTGCTCCAGTCCCTGCTAATCAGGAAGGGATAGTGGTAGGTGGTCCTGCGGAGCTTTCGGAAAAGGGTAGCCTTGTGTGTGCTGCATTTCTTGCAATGCACTGTCTATGTTAAGAATGAATAGGTGCATACTATCATTGAAATTAATGGTTAAACTTCTTGTTACCAAGAAAAATGTCTAAACTGCTCTGTTTGGAAGATAATATGGTCTTTTATCTGTAAGTCGTCTCAGAAACAGAAAATTATATATATTTTTTGAAATAGGTAAGGATTTTATAAATAATAGCCAAGCACTAAGACAGTGCTTGCGCTGACATGCTTTTGGATCCCCTTATGCAAAACAAAAAGATGGGTTCCTATCTGTACAAAAAACCCTAATCCTGTCCTGAATTGATGCTATCTAGCACAATGTCGTCATCCTTTACATGTTGAAAGTCGCACCAAAAAGCCAAAAACCATTGACATCTGAAGTTGGATTGTACTTCTTAGCAATTGAAGGATTCAAAACATAGAATTCCAATATCCCATAAAGAGTAATAATTGTTTTAGTTTGTCGATAAAGTAAACTACCAAATAGCTGATCTGTGTCTCTGCCGCTCCGTGCTATAAATGTGAAGCTATAAGAGGACCTTTTCAGCGTATCCAAGGGTGAGACTTGGAGGTCTATTCCTGTGGAGAGAGAAAAAAATTAGGTGATTTCTTTCCATCCGCCTAAGTTTTGGTGGAAAAAATTACTTATCTGATTCAATGAGAGCCGAGAGGATGTTTACCAGTGGGATAGTCTAGTTGCGCCCAAAAGTTGACACTATAGGTGTGCGAGTAAGAGGGTAGTAGGTGAAATTATATGAATTGAACTTCACCATTATTAAAAAAGAAGAAAGAAAATAGGACGTTTTTAGTAGGTGTTCACATCTTCTTTCTTGTTGATGCATTACCTTATCTTTTCTACCTCAGGTTCCTGCTCGTATTGAAAAGCTGATCAATGAAAAGCAATTCTATGCTGCCGTGCAGTTGCATGTTCAATCAGCTCTTATGCTTGAACGAGAGGGTCTTCAAACGGTGGGTTAATTAAAACATTCATAACTGATTCTACCTTTACACTTCACCTGTGGCTGCTTGAAGAAGCTGTGGACACAATTTCCGCATACTGAGTTTTTTTCTGACTTGCGGTAGTCGATTTTTTGTATGTTAAAACTGATTTTGTTAAAAGAGGCAGCTTCTTGTTCTATGGTCGACACAGCAACACCAATTTCAAGTTGATAAACAAATTTTTAGCAATAATCTTTTGTGACATTTTTTTGTTGCCAATTCTTACTTAGTGCAAAGGATGGCTTAATGTACTTACTGTATATTGTTGGCATCACATAGGTTGGTGCTTTACAAGATGTCAGATCTGAGTTGACGAAGCTAAGAGGAGTTCTCTTCTATAAAGTCTTGGAGGATCTGCATGCCCATCTTTATAATAAGGGTGAATACAGGTACATATTAGTGAACCTTGGTCTATAAAAACCTTCTTACTGTTTGATGTTGTATACACTTCAAGTCTTTTTTTATAATAAGGGTGAATACAGGTACATATTAAATAGCCTTGGTCTATAAAAACCTTCTTGCTGTTTGAGGTTGTATACATGTCAAGTCTTTCATTGGAGACATTTTTTTTCTATCAATGAATCTGATGTTTGATATATATACATATATCATGTTGTCCTTATCCACTTAAAATATTGAAGCTGAGGCTACCTCTAGCAATGCAACTCGATATTCTGTTTGTTGAGATACATAATTGGGTGATTAAATAATCTGTTTGTGCTTGCAATTAATGAAGCACGGTCTTGGAGGTGATTCTTCTTGTACTTTGTTATCCTCAACTTTCTGTTGAGAGGAGCCACATATCTTTTCATTTAGATTTTAATTTCAGATGTTGCTTTATATTTGCTCAACATGGTCTTCCTTTTGCAGTTCAACTCTCTTCAGTATCAGTGAAAGAGATGATGAAGTACCAACCACTGTAGCTGTACCATTGTCCATGAACAACTCACAGCCTCTCTCTCGAAGAACTAGGTTACTAAAAGGTGACAATCAGTTTGGTTCATTTGGAGCTGGGGATGGATCTCACAAAACTAGCTCTATTGATGGCAGGTAAGACAAAAAAGAAAATTTTAAGTGATGTGGTTCTGTTGGTAATATCATCCTCAATATTGTTGAAGCTGATCACCTGTGATTCTAAACTTACCTCTTCATAGCTTTCATCTTTAAGTGAACTCGATAGCATCCTACATAAACGCCTTTTAGTGATAGTTTAACTTTATAATTTTTTTGGTAGATTTCTGCATCCGTTCTTCTTTCTGGTACAGCAACTGAGTTCCTCTCTTCTGCTTTATTTGCAGCTCCCTAGTAGAAGGTCATGATGATGATGGTGAAGATACTGTGACAGATGGCAATCCTACCTCTTCAAGGATCAATGGCATTGATGGTGCTTCGAAGGATGTAAAAATTATCACTCATCAAGTTCTGACATGGCTTTCAGATTCTACACCAGATGAATTTGTTGTAAGAAAGATGCCAAACCCAGCTAGTTTGGGTTGTGGCATAGTTGATTGATTGATATAAAGTTGCCTTCTGCGTGCTTGTCAATATTAAATTTTTGATAGTTATTCACAAGAGTTTAATGTGCTCCAATATATCTCAAATGTAGGAAGCAATCAGGAAAACTGATGCTCCATTGCATGTGAAGTACTTGCAGACCATGGTTGAGTGTCTTTGCATGCTTGGGAAAGTTGCAGCTGCAGGCGCCATTATTTGGTTAGTTCTCATCTTTCATGCTGTTGGTCCAATCGGAAGCAAAGCTCTGATTTGATTGCTGCATAGTTCTCAACTTTTCCGGGCAGAGCTATGTTTTAGAATAACCTCGTAAGCTGTGGGATGCAAATAGATGCTAACCTAAAGGATGATCTGTAATTGGAGAGGTCAATTTTCCATCAGAAATGATCTAGGGAAGTTCGTAAATCTCTGCTGGAATCTTGAGAGACGGAAGACCTCTTTTAAAATTAGTACACAAGCTGGCTAAGATCCAATTTTTCAATACAGAAACATGTAAACTATAGATGCCACTCATGGTCTTAAGCCAGATTTGCTCTTTTGCCCATCGTATTAGCAAATAAACACATTCCGTTTATGCTTGCATACAATGCTAATGGGAACTATGATTCGATCATTGCTCTAAATTGTGATGTTTACACTTGTATACTTTTCATGATGAATTGGTTGAGTCTTACATTTGTTTCTATCTTTCTGTATAGAGGTTATCTTCTTCATGTTTCATTTGTGGTATTTGAATATGCAGTCTCTAATTACTTTTATCTTTATTGTATTTGTTTCAACAGCCAAAGATTACGACCTACTATTCATGAAATAATCACAACAAGGATCAAAGCTCATGCAGAAAATGCTTCACGACCTCGCATTGGCCAGGCTGCTCAAGCAGCCATTACAGGTCTTCACTATCTTAAAGGGCAATTGGAGAGTTTTCAGTCTTCAAAACAGAAGCATCAGAATGGGATATATCTCGCAGTGCTACTAGCAGTCAGCCCTGTTTCACCTGTCATGGCTCCTACAGGAACAGCACAGGCTGCTGCAAAGGAACTCCTTGATTCAACTCTTGATGCTGTTGTTCATATATTTGGTAAGTAATAAGGTCTTGCAAGTTTCTTTTGTCATTTTTGCCTTTTCTTTTCCTTATTGATTTTGCTTCAAGTACTCTGCATTCAGCTCAAGAATCTTTTACTTTTGGTTTGTAATTTCAACCGAACAATTTTCAGAGAACCATGTTATTGTTGGAGAACTTCTCGAGTCAAAGTGCTCTCAACAAATTGACTTGAACACGCCTAAGTCTATGCCTACAGACATCAGTTGGAACCCTGATTCAGATGCATCTCATGCCACTGGAGGGTATAACATTGGCTTTTCATTGACCGTCTTACAGGTCAGTTTCTTCCTTGTCAATCATTTGCATTCTGATGCCCAAGATCTCTCTAGTTGGTTAGAGTACAGATAAATGGTGTAGTAACAAAGCAGTGCCTATTCGATTATGGATGATAGAAATAATTCACTAACATTATTGTGCAAATAGAGTGAATGCCAACAACTCATATGTGAGATCCTGCGAGCTACTCCAGAAGCTGCATCCGCAGATGCTGCTGTCCAAACAGCAAGACTTGCAAGCAAGGCCCCTTCAAAGGAAAAGAGGCAAGTTAATGGACTGCTTATCACTGTTGTCCTTAAGCTTGTGATCTCTATATTTTATGTTATTTTACTTTCCTGTCTTCTTATATTTTAATTTAACTCAATTAATCTTTAAATTGAAAATCTGTTTACTTTTGCTCCCTTTTCCCGTTTTCTTTATTTATAGGTTGTTCTCTTCTTGTTCTTTTGTTTGGGGTGTTTCCTATGTTAAGGGAGGAATTGGTTGAATTCATGTGCGTTCATTCAATCAACCGGACTTCAACTAGTCAAGTCCTGTTTTACTTATCTCTTTACACTTGTAATTAAATTGGAAAGGCCTAGATGCTAACTGATGTAGCCCAATTCTCGTAGAGTATCTGGAAAGTGGCAACTACTCATAAACTTAAATCATTCATCTTTTTGTATTATTGCAAATTGTATTTGGTTGGGCTATGAGCTAGTGGATTCCAGATTAAAACAGAAAGGACAGGAATCCTATGTAAATTGGGTATGAGAAAGCCTTTGGTCACGTCAACTGGGGTTAGTGTCAGATCTTTTCTTATAAATGGTTGTCCAGCAAGATTCTTTTAATCACAAGGGGGCCTTCGACAAGGACCCAATGTCACCCTTCTTATTTTTGATTGCTATGGAAGGTCTTAATCACTTGATTAGGACAATAAATACTAATGAACGGATCAGGGGTTTTGGCTCTTAATCCACTGTTGGTCTAGAAATCACTCACCATCATGTCTGCTGATGACTCGCTAGTTTTATGTGATTCTGATGTGGAGTGGATCAGACATCCCAGAGCAATTTGGACCATCTTCGAGGTCTCGTCTGGCCTTCATGTTAACTGGAGCAGAAGTTCACTCTACCCGGTTAATTAAATCAATGATCTTCAGAATCTAGCATGGAACATAGGCTATCAATTGGGCTCTTTCCGTCTAAATACTTAGGGCTGTCTCTAGGTGCCAAAAACAAGTACAGGAGATCTGGAATGAAGTCTTGGAGAGATGTGTCAAAAAGTTGGCTAGTTGGAAAACCCAATGCCTCTCCTTTAGTGGCAGTGTTACACGTATTAATTCGTTCTTGGATGCTCTTCCCACTATGTCTCTCCTCCCAATTCCCAGAGGAGGAGAGGAAAAGATTGACAGACCAAGAAGATATTTTAACAAGGAAAAGAGATGCTTCAACCTGGTCAAATGGGACTCACTCACTTTGAACAAGAAGCAGAGTGGACTGGAGATTTAGAATTTGAGGTTGCACAAAAAAAGTATATTGCTGAAATGGCTATGAAGGTTCAACTCAGAGGACATAATGCATTATGGAGAGGATTCATCTCTCAGAAATATGGGATGTTTACTCAATGGATCACAGGGTCCATATGGTACCGGTGTTTGAAGATCTGTTAGAAACTAATGGCATGAATTCTGGGCTAATGTAGATCATAGTTTGTGATGGTAAAGACTATCTTTTGGGAGGATCACGCCATAATAACCTAATAGCCGATATCCTTGACTAATATTCAAATACGTGTCGATCAAGTTTGGATTCCTCAAGGCTGGATCTTCATTTCAGAAGAGAAGAGCTCTTAATGGCTGGGAAATGGAAAGCCTAACCAACATGTTCCTGTTCTTAGGTTCCTTTAGAGGAACTTCTGCTTATTCTGACAGACTCAAATGGAGATTGAACAACAAAGGAACTTTCTCTGTTAAGTCTGTTGTTACTGGATGCTCCCCCCTCGATTGAGTCTTGGCCCTGGAGGCCCATTTGGAAAGTAAAAATACCTTTCAAGATTTTTTGTTTTGGTTGGTTGGTGGCAAGGAAACTTGCTTTGACCAAAGGGAAATTTTAAAGAACAGGTCTTCAAATTTGTGGAACATGTTTCGTGTTTTTGGCATAGAACATCTCAGATGCTGGAAGAGTGTAGGGAAGAAAAGTGGTGGTAGATCATCCCCACTTGTGTATGATGAATAATATGAAAGGAAAAGAATTCTAGATATTTTGAGGTACCAGCAGTCCTATTCAGAAAATTAGGATGAATTGTCTTAGTCTTTTCTATTTTTGGTGTAACCAAAATATGTGTGTGTGTGGAGGGGGGGGGGGGGTAGAGATAGGTGACCTGGTAGAATTTAATAGGAAAAAGTGTAAACTTTTGTTTGTAAAGATCACAGGTCAGCTCCTTTTGTAGCCCAGTTTTACTGTTAATACAACTTGTTACCAACTTCAAAAAAAGAAAATATTTCATTTCTGATGCTTCGGTTATCACATTATTTTGTTGTTGTTACTGATCCTTTTTTGTTGTTGATAAATGTCAAGTAAGGCTTTCCCTAGTATTTGCTATGTCTTCTTTACGTTTGTATTTTCTTTTCATACTGCTTTGATATGCGACCTGGGTTCGAGGGTCTTTTGGAAATAGCTTCTCTACCTCCATGAGGTAGGGGTACGGATTTCACTGGGTATGTTGTTGTTGTATGGAAAAGGCATTTTCCACAACTTTTTGTTCTGTTAGATATCATGTGTCAATTTTCTCTCTAGTTGATATTGTGTGTTAACTTTCACTGTAGTTGATCATGGACCATCTTTGATTTTTATTTGTTTCAGGGATGGGTCAGAAGATGGTCTAACATTTGCATTTCGTTTCACAGATGCTACTGTATCCATTTCAAATCAAGGTATGTCAGGAGAATTACCAAAACAACAAAGTATACTGAGTTCTAGATTCGGTTTTTTTGGGGTTCTGTTACATCATACATATCTATTTTCCTACCAATCTTGCTATTTAACTAATGAGCAGGCAAGAAAGATTCTTACTGCACCTTCATCTCTTTTCTGGTTTAGCTGAATGATTTAACTCTATAACAATTTAAACTCAGGGGTTGACCTCATTAGGCAAGGATGGGGTAAGAGAGGCTCCAATGTACTCCAAGAAGGTTATGGTACATCAACTATTTTACCTGAGCAGGGAATTTATTTAGCAGCCTCTATATACCGACCTGTTCTTCAGGTTTGATCTAATCATAATGCTATTATCAATCTAATAGTACTGGAAATCTCTCTACTAATATAACTTAACATTCTATCAACAGTTTACAGATAAAGTCGCTTCCATGCTGCCACAGAAGTATTCGCAACTTGGGTAAGCTGGATTATTTTGTACCTTATCTTGTTTGATGGGATTGTGTTCTTATTTCTTATGTGAAATGTAATGGTCATTGATGATAAGTAGCCTTCTTTTCACATGGATCCCACCTCGAAATGATTTGTCTACTATCCCTTCCAAAGTTAAAAAAGGAAACAAGGCTTAATTACATATTGCCTTGGTAATTCTACTGCTTTGGTAGAGAGAAATCTAATTACTGAAGAAATAGTTAATGATTTATCATATTTTTGTTTGGTGATACTGTTTGCATTTACATGTTTCTCTTATAGTATTAAAAGAATTTTCCTAGTGTTATGGAGGAATTTCTTGCCTCTGTATGTTATTTGAAACCTGTATGATTTTCCTTCAAATTTTGATGGATCGACTATATTCACCGAGGGAACATTTGGTGTAGAAGCAAATTATGTGGGGATTAGTAACATAGGAATTATAATGCAAGAGAAGTAATACAAGGAGTAATTATGCAAGGATGTAATGTTGAGATTAGTAATGTAGGGATTGTTATGCAAGAGATGTAATACAAGGAGTAATAATGCAAGGATTATAATGATGGGCTAAGTATTTTGTAGGGATTATTTATTATTGGATGTTTGGTTTATTATTTTAAAAATTATTATACATTGTATATGGAGGTTGGATTTGGGTAGAAGGTTAGTAGGTATTTGAGCGTTGTCTTATTCCCCAGCAGGATAGATTGGTGCATTGTATCTGTTGCCCAATTTTTATTTTTTACCAGTAGCAGTGGTAGCATTTGTCTTGAAATTGGCCTATCTTATGACTTTTGTTATTCTTTTTTTTTTTACTATTCATAACATTAGTTTGTTATGGTTGTTGCCCCTCTTTGGTATGTTAGGTTATGTTTTCCTTATTATTTTCTATGTCCTCTTTACTTCTGTATTATTCTGTTAGCTGCTTTGGTTTTAGTTACTCGAGCCAAGGGTCTTTTGAAAACAGCCTCTCTACCTCCTCGAGGTAGTGGTAAGGTTTGTGTACACTATAGCCTCCCCAGGCCCCGCTTTTGGGACTATACTGGGTTGTTGTACTCTTCATTCACTTTTACGTATAATTATTGCAGGAATGATGGACTTCTGGCATTTGTGGAGAACTTTGTGAAGGATCACTTCTTACCTGCAATGTTTGTTGATTATCGGAAAGCTGTACAGCAGGCAATATCAAGCAAGTCTCTTTACATGCGACATTTCTATGCTAGCTAATGAGATTTATAGAAGTTGCAATGTGCAATGTCTGTTGGTAAAAACTCAAGTTTTGAGCATGTGCGGCTGCTCCCTAGGGATTTCTCGTTTATCAAAACAAAAAAAAATCAGCTAGACTTCTTTAAACTGGTTTTACACAACCTAATTATTCTTTTCTCCTGACAGCTAGACCATATTTAGAGATGGAGTTAATGGTGATGCTTAAAATTCACAATTTTCCTCAAATGCACTCAAAATATAAAATCTGCATACATTGTTGAATTATGTAAATCGATGCTAGGCTATGAAGTTGTGATGCTTAAAGTTCTTTTGTAGGCCCAGCGGCATTTCGTCCACGCGCGAATGCTGTAACATCTTATACCCCATTGATTGAAAAAGGTCGGCCAATCCTGCAAGGACTTTTGGCAATAGATTTCTTAGCAAAAGAGGTACAACATATTCATTACTTTTTCTGATAAATCTTTTATGTTTATAATTTCATTATTTTCGAACAGTCAAGTGCCTTAGTTGATCTGTTCTATGCTGTAAGTACGTATGAGCGATGTTAACACCATAAATTGTTGTATACAAGTGAAGACATTATTTCTATGCTGTATGAGCGATGTTAACACCATAAATTGCTGTATACAAGTGAAGACATTGTTCTATTTGTCCTCTTATGATCTCTCTAGTGTTCCAATTTGATTTGCTCTTCGTCTTTTCTCTCCTTGGGGTGCATCAGCCTGGTTAATATCTTTTTCAGTTTCTTACTTGAATCAGTCTCCAGCATTTAAATGTTTACATTCATACAGGTGCTTGGATGGGCACAAGCAATGCCAAAGTTTGCTGTTGCTCTTGTGAACTATGTACAAACTTTTCTGGAAAGAACATATGAAAGATGTCGCACTTCATACATGGAGGTTTGAGCAATCCTTCTCATTTGATGGCTGTTTGTGTATAGGAGCGGGGGGGGGGGGGGTCTGATCAACATTTATTGTTGTCTGGAAGATAACCTATGGAATGGAAGCATTAGTTCTCTATTGTTCTTTAATCAGAATGACTATATCCAGATGAGAAAAGTTTTCTACGAGAAGATTTTTTTACAGTTAATGTCTAAACGAAGAGCTTCTAAACAACAACCAAAACCAGAGAGTTACCTTATGAGAAGGGGAAACTATCATTTTGTGGGGCACAGTTAGAAAATGGAGTAGAGTACAGAAGTAAAATATTATTAGGTTGCCTCAATTTCCTCATCCCCCTATACGCACTTGACAATACTGTATCTTATTTATTCAGGCAGTTCTTGAGAAGCAAAGTTATATGCTCATAGGCAGACATGACATTGAAAATCTGATGCAACGTGATCCAGCTAGTGCATGTTTACCCTGCTCAACTGGTGAGCTTAACACAGAATATGGTGCTGCCAATGGTGAAAATTCAGAGGTTGAAATGGAAATCAGTGACGCATTATTGAATTTGCGACCAATCAGACAGGTACTTTTTGACGTTTTTTTTGGCGGGCGGGGTGGAGTGTCAGTGGCTATGTAGACAATAGCTAAAGAGGCTTAATATTTGTGTCAGGATGATCAGTATCACTAGAAATGCAACGTTGAAATTCTAATTGTAAATGAATAAGAAGAGGAAGATGAATACTAATGTGAAAAGAGTTAGAATTATTTGTTGGTGCATCACCTCGTAAATGAGATGAATCTGAAAATAATGGAGTGACTGATGATAGCATAGATTGACATTGATTCAGCAAACTTGGCAAGTGAAATGTATTGTATATAATTCTCAATGTCAATTATTTTGATATGCTAAGCTAGTTTCCATACATTTTTGCAGGAAAACTTGATTCGTGATGATAACAAGCTAATTTTACTGGCATCTTTAAGTGATTCATTGGAATATATTGCTGACTCAATTGAAAGGCAAGTTCTTAAATCTTTTTGCAGTATTGTTCGTTTCAAATGTTTGCTTTAGTCGGCAGAACAGAGTTTTATATGGGTTCTCACATAGTTCGCGAGAGCACTGCTGCACAGACAAGCATTTTTGAGTAACTGACTCATAACAAGGATTGACAAAAATATGTGTGTTCATTTAGTTATTGGGCCACTAAATTAGTCAGAGCACACGGTAGATGCCACATATTTACCTATCAATTCGTCATTACCAATCAGTAATTAACTAATATTGGGCGTCTTACTTTGATACTCCTAACAGACGTCTCACGCTCTCTTCCTCACAAGCTCTTTCCTTTTTCCACGGTGGTTGGCTACATGTATCATTTGTTATTTAGGGGAAGCTTCGACGATTATTGTTTGTATATAATGAAATTTTTGGTACAACTGAACAGGTTCTATTTGAACTTTGAATACCTTTTTATGGCTTGTCAGCTTGTTTCTGATGCAAATTACAGGCTTGGGAAGATTTGCCATAGCACATCTAATCAGGTAGAAGATAATGGGGGGCAGAAAGCTCCAAAGCATTCTAGAACTAGCAGTATGCCTCCCAAGGATTTAGCATCTTTTGCTGAAGAATATAGGAAACTTGCAATTGATTGCCTCAAGGTTCTTCGTGTGGAGATGCAATTGGAGACTATTTTCCATCTGCAGGTTTGTGGGCATGAGTGGTGATTTTGATTAACTTTGTTGTAGAAGAGGGTAGTATTTACGACCAACAGTGTGAGCAACTCTTTTACAGGAAATGACGAGTAAGGAATTCCTGGACGATCAAGATGCAGAGGAGCCAGATGATTATATAATTTCAATAACTTCCCTGGTAAATTTTCTGCTGTCTGTAGTGTATAATAACTTCTCCTATCATTTTCTGGTAAAGATCTCTTTTCTCACCCTTACAAAGTCTGCTTATGGTAGTAACGATGTGTGGATGTTGTGATCTATCACATGATCTCTTTCTATCTTCTCCTTTTAGATTCAAACTTTTACTTTGTAGATGTGTTAAATTCAAATGCTGACTATTCTCTTGGGAGGGTATTATGATAATATCGTGTTTCATCTATTTTTATTTTTAAATCCCGACTTCATTCCAGGGTCTACCTTCTCGGTGCCCCATCTGTCATATTAATTAATAAAGAAATACTCCTTATGTTTCAATTTTTTTGTCTAGTTTCGACTTGAAACGGAGTTAAGAAAGCGAAGAGGACTTCTGAATCTTGTAGTAAGATATGTGGAATGTACCAAAATGCCCTTTAATCTTGTGGTTTACACGTGGACAGTTATAATGAAAGAGTTGCCTAAAAAGGAAAGAGGTAAGACAAACAAACTGAAACAAAGGGAGTAGTAGAAAATTCACTTAGAAGATAAAAGTTTTATACAGTAAGAAAAAGTTCTACACACTTGAAGAGTAACTTAAGCTCTGGGGACCAGCTTATTTGGTGTGAGCTAAAAACATGTGGTCTTTAAAACAAGTAAATGTCATTCAGAGACGTGAATAGCGTGGACTGCAGAGGAGTAAATCATCCCACAATGTTTTGTTGTATAGCTTTTCAGTAGATTTGAGAAATCATTGAAGCCAGATGACAACACTTCCATTTTTGCTTTTAACATATTACTCGTACAGAATTAAGTCATTGGTTTGCTTTCTTCCATTGCTTCTTTTTTAGTTTGTTATCAACTGATTGAAGATTTTAGTGCCCATTACGATTTACTTCTTCATTCTATTAGAACAGAGTTAAAGAACCAAATTACATATTGTTTTTCTCTGGTTTCTGTAATTCAGATAACACGCCGGGATGAGGAAATGGCACCCTTCGTTGCAGGATCAAGGCGGAACTATATATTTGGTGGTATATCTAGTGTTGCTTCAAATGGATCAATCAAGGTCTGCATAGAGCGGTTCTGTTGATTAAATTCTGATATTCATTGAATTTCCGACCACCTGCCATCTTATTCTTCTCTTTGTCGCCTCCTAGGCTTTGGCTGATTTGAAATCTATCAACCTGTTTGGAGTTCAGCAAATATGCCGTAATTCCATTGCACTGGAACAGGTGGTGTCTTTTTCCTTGAAATCTTTAAGGTGGTTCCATTTAGAGAGCTAAATGCTATTCAATTAGTTTGATCTCTAAATTAACATCTCAAGGGAACCAATCTGTCTACTATTGATTCAATGTAATTTTCATTTTTTCTTTCTAGCTTGGATGCTTGCGTTGTTATTTCTCACACAGCATAACTAATTGTCTTCTTCCAAGTTGTTTAGGCTTTGGCTGCTATCCCCTCAATCGACGGTGAAGCTGTGCAATTGAGATTAGACCGTGTTAGGACGTACTATGAGCTGTTGAACATGCCATTTGAGGTAATCAAGTCTACAAGTTCACGACGTTGAACTTTCTGATGTTGTTCTTCTGGTTCTAGTTACAACATCTGTGTAATCATTGGGTTCCTTTTCTCAGGCCCTACTTGCATTTATCGCGGAGCATGAGAACCTTTTTTCATTTGCAGAGTGAGTAGTTTTAATGTTAGTGCAGTTAATCGATGTGGCAATTGATTGGGCTACAAGTGTTGATGAAAACAAACATTCAATGTCTTCTCTTCAGGTACTCTCATCTTCTTAAGGTCCAGGTTCCGGGTAGGGAAATTCCAGCTGATGCACATGATCGTGTAGCTGAAGTACTGCCCCGCTAATTCAAACTGAAGTGCAGAACATTGCCGTTCATTGGAACTTGCTAGACAAGAGTGTTTGCAGATTGATTCTTTTTATGTTGCAGAGCTTTGTGAAGTGCAGGCATATGTATAGATGGTTGGAAGTAATTTCATGGAAAAAAGCTTAACCTGAATGTTCATAAATGTTCATGGTTTTGGTCAGGGCTGTTAGACTTATTGTTATTATTCTTTTTGTAGTCATATTCTTTAGTGTCCTGCATCATTTTTTGGCAACCTTTAATTTTCATCTTGTTCATATGAAGGATTTTTCTTTAGTTTGGATGAAATGAATCATGTCTGTAAAATTCTGTATCCAGTAATAAAAGATATTCACTTCAATCGCGGAATGTTAGTGGATCGTCCACACACTGGCTAAGAAAAAGTATGCAAGTTATATGCCTCACCATCTTGATTGTGGTGAGATCTTTAAAGCCAGCATGAGAACTAGAAGTTGTGAGTTATATTGCTTGGACTGTAATATTGATCTTTCAAAAATACTTTTGGAAGGTCCAACGCGCACCTAATGACATTTTTAAAGAGTCACCTAATGACATTTTTAAAGAGTTCCGAGTGGAACGAATAGAGAAGATTCAACTAAATGATGATCTTTTTCATTACATATGAATCAATATTGAGATGTTGATAAATTACAATGTATATGTATAAGAATGGTATATAATTTACAAAAACATTTATCATAAAGAATCCTAGTTACATTTTGTTGGGCTACATACAGGATTGTTGTAAATACATGTTAGAAAAAGAGGCTACTTCATAATGCTCTACTTCTGTAGACCCAAAAAACTGGGATTTCCTTGTATTGGTGAAGTATTGCCTTCACTATGCTTTTATTTGAGCTTTAAATGTAGAGCTCAACTTTAGTGTCTTCTTAGCCAAATTGCGTATATCCTCTCGTGAAGATTCGTTTGATATTCGTACAATTTCATCCAATGCTCCACTTGACACGAAATCTCTAGCATTACCCTCTGCCATAGCCATAAGAAGATGCATCACTATTAATAGATATCTTTACTTTGATAGTTTTGTGAAGAATTTCATATTTAGATTTTTTGAGGCAGGGGGCACTAGATCCTCAAGAGTAGACCAACACTTGGCAAGGACAAGGTATACGACTACGCCAGAAGGTTTAGCTGTTTTTAGCTCCTAAAATCACAAGAAGAGCTATAACAAGAAATAAGTTTGGATAAGTAGCTAACCATTTTGTGCCAAATGACACAGAGCAAGTTCAATGTGGCGCCTAGTGGAAGAAGCAGCATTGTTAGAGTTGGTTGTCAACCATTTCAGTACACCATCTTCCATAAGAGTAGAACGGCCTTTCCTATGTCCTGGACAAAGCAATACTAGTCAAGTTTTTGCTCACAGGAAAAACAGTAATTACATCCATGTCTGAACAACACAAACCTTGAATTGTTCCTCGCGATTCACACTTTGCAAAGTTAGCCAATCCTCTGGCAACCTGTGCAATGACTTCAATATTTCCAGATCTAGCCATTTCTAACAATGCTTTGACAGCTCCATCTTCCCTTAATTTAGTGTGTAACTTTTCTGCCATGACATAGATGCTTATCAAAGTTCAACATAAATGCACAGTAAACAATTCACACTAGTCAATTCAACAATGCACACCATCTTGTGTTCAGGAGTGACTACACATACTACAGCAGATAATGACCTGAACTTACCATTTCCACACAAATTTGCAATTGCTCCTGCTACCATTCGAAGAGTTTGGGCATCTTCAGTTTTGACAGCTGTATTGGCTAAAAGTTGAGCACCTCCTTTGCTTGATATTAATTCTTGATTCATTTCTGAACAGGTTAAAATTTGAAAAATTAAAACACAAGTGAAATTTGATCGATCAGCCCTTAACAACAGATTCATGTGAAACGAGAAAGAAATTTCAGAGGGTTAAAACATCGAGCTGACTGGATAATAGCCAAACTTTGCTTTACTCCAGAAAGAACATCATGGCAAGCTTAGATTACAGATGCAATTAGTCTGATGTTTACACTTTAATCTGAAAAAATCTATTCATAATATGGATGATTATACAGTCTTTGTACAACCTTTATTTGTATATATTATATATGTTACCTATTTCAAAAAATATGAAAAATTATAAACAGGTTAATGCACAAGATTACTATCACTTGTACGTTCTACAATATATGGTTTAAAGGAGGTTCCTGTGCTTTTTGAAAGTTAAAGAAGGGGATGTAAACAAAGGAGTGTCTATATCCAGAGTGGTCCCGGAGATGGCAACCTCCTTTTGTTTGTCTAATTGTTAGCTTCCTAGAGTATTTTTCTTGCCACCTTTTCAATTGTCCTTGTTTTCTAAATAGATCAGTCAACAACTCGAAGCTCCTTGGCCCAATTAACCGGAAAATTTGGAATTAAGATGACTAAGCATTCATGAATAGCATATTCATACTTATCATTGTGTATAAAGATTTTATTCCTATGACCAGCTCAGAAACATGATTAAGAAGGTTCCAATGAATGATAAAATCCACATCAAGGAAATTCTTAGAAAAAGCCGAGAATGTAATGAAGAAAAGATTCACAAGTACCATTCATTGCCAAATTGGCAATAGCTCCAGAAGCCACTCTGAGTATAGTTGCATTTTGGGATGATTGTAGCAGCATGAGAAGTGCATCTAAACCACCTTCTTGCACAATCTTTTCCTGATTGCTGTCTGAAATTAGGAAAAAAAGACTCAGGTTTTTCCTCTGCGTATTATCTGTTGATTTCTTTTTTCACAACTGAAATGACAATAACTTGTTCATGTCAGTCTTGTGGTCCTGTGGAGTTGAATCAGATTATGGACATAGTGGAAATGGAAGAGTACATAAAGATATAATGGTGGACTGATATCTCTCATTCACCTCTCTTCAATGTCAATTCTGATTGATTAGCTTCCTCTTTTGCGCACAGTTCACATAAAAGATACGTTGAAATTACGTCTTTACGATTAAAAGCAAACAGATCTGACTGGTTTAAGAATGATTAATTAAGAAGCTAAGAGCCCAAGAAAGCAAAGCAAGCACAGATTTTCCTGAATTTCTCCAAGTAGCAAAAAAAAGACTTTTACTAGCCTATTCACAGTTGTCACATAACATTAAGCACAAAAATCCTACCTAAAAACCAGAGAAGTAACCTAATGTCGTTCACCTCAAATGCGCACATATCATTTAATGTGTTTAAAGGTTTAGGGAAATTTTACTTTGCAACATAAACTTTATGCCTTAACGCTAATTTCGTGGCTTTTTGCAAGTCCAAAGTGGTAATTTAGTTTATCTGGGCAGCCAAAGAACCATCATTTTCAGTTACCATACCAAATAAAGATTTCTATCAAGCTATTCCGTTTAGTGCTATTGACAAACATACCATTGATTTGATACTTAAATATCACTAAACAATTAGTTATACAGACCTTCAGCTGCAAGATTGGCTACCACCTTCACAGCATGAATTTGGACGTCCAAATCAACTGATGACAACAAAGAGATTATCTTCTGGACACCAACTGAATTGCAAAGTCATTAAACCTAGTTAATTTGAAGAATCCAAAAGATAAATAGAAAGAAATAGACATGATTATGCTATTATATAACAAGAACGACCTGACTTTAGCATTTAAAGAGTTTTACCTTCTTCAATTATCTTTGACATTGTATTCTGATGGGCAAAAATCCTTTCCCTTGATTCAGTTGATCTGTGCATATTGAATGATCTACTGGGTGTATATTGCTTCACATATGACTTCTTCTCCTGTAAATATGAGATGTTAACTCCAATCCACGTTATAGTAGACAAAAGGACCCCAAGACAGGACTTACCTCAAAGCCATCTTCACTCTCAGGCACAAACTTCTTTATATTAAACAGCTCATTTTCAGCAGCTTTCCTTTGCTTTTCCTCCATTAGAAGTGTTTGCCTCACATTGTGAAGTTCGTCATGCAATTCTATCTAAGGGATCATGTTGAGGAAGCGAAGATTATTATAAGTAAATCTTCCACCAACATAAATTATGTTTTTTTGCTTATAAGTAGGGTGCACATTTTTCCTGTCTTGCTGTTTTCTTTCACCTTTTTTTTCCTTTTGCAGGAGGGTTGGGAGGGAAGGTGAGCATGGTAAGTTAATTTAAGTGAAATTAACATTAATGAGAACCTTGAGTGGACAAACGTTAAAGTGCTTTACATACCTTTTCTGATAATAGAGCCTGATATTCTGTTTTTAATGCTTGAAGTTCCTTCACAGTTCGCTCATACAGGTGATGCATTTCCTCTAATTTTGATCTAAGTGCATCTGACTCTTTTTCCCTCTGAATCTACATTCGGGAAAAGCAATAGCAATTGAGGCAGAAAAGAACTATAACGTAGAAGATTAAAGACAAAACTGTTACAACAACTACTCCTCAGCGTCACCTATATGAATTGTCACTAGCCATATTCCCAATTTAAATTCATCTCAAGCCAACATTTTACGAAATAAAAATAAAAATAGAATGAAAGTACAAGAAGTTCTCCTATATTCCTATTGGCCTAAGAATCTCTAATAGGGCTTAAAAACTCCTAGAAAACACAGGGCCTACCGTATACGCATTAACATGACAAACATGTACTCCCAACTGATTGAAATCACCTATATAAATCTTCTTCTTTATTGTGCCCTATGTTTTGCTAAGTCTGCATAGCTTCCAAGATATTATAGGGTTTTCAAGTTTCGAGACAACTTCCTTCCAAATGATTTTCGGTCTACATTATGAGTTGATTAGGATTGTTATTAGAATTCTGATTGTTTAATTATACACTTAACCAATATTGTACATATTGTAACGACTATAAATCCACAACCAAGCTTATGGGAAATAGTCAAGCTTCCGTTACAAATCTCTCTAGTATAACATAGTATCATAGTCAGGTCCATTCTTGTTATTTTATGTCCCAATTTTGGGCCTCAATACTATGTGATGCATACTCTAATTGGCATGCCTGGGCGTGCTGGGATCGGGTATTAGGACACATAAATTGAAGGATTTGTTGTTTGTCTCCTTATATTGTCTTGGACAATCCTTACGTTATGAGCTATTTTATGGTTGAGTTAAGCCCTCAATTTTGAATGCCTTCTTGTTGAGCCTTCACTAGGATTTTTCTACCCCCCAATTAAAACCATAATTCTTGTCATTTTAGTATGCCTTCAATATTCTCTTCTTGGCTTTATCCTGACTAGCGTGTGAAGTATTTGATGAAAGGGCAGTGGTGTATTCACATGCAAACATCTTAATCCTTACAAAACCAAACGGGCTAAGTCAATTTTGTCA